CGGCTGCCGGTTTATTAAGTCGTTATCCAGGGTCGAGTACGTTCCTCAAGCGTACAAGCGAGTTTCGCGCGTGCAGCAGTAAAGACGAATCACCGTTAATCCGCAATTGATATGCGCACAAACAACAATACACAATATATAATAGACAATCTCGCCTTTCATCTTCTATTTTCAAACATCTCTGGCGTAAATATAGATATATATGAAAATATATTATTGCGATAATTTTCCTAAAAACTTTTAAGGTTTAAGAAAACCCATACAAACCAGCTCCTTATAAATATATTCGAATGTTTTAAAGCAGCCCCTAGATGCTCAATATTATTGTACAATATTTTGTACAATATTATTGATGCCTCTTTTAAATAATTTAAAATAAATAGTCTGGAGGCGACCAATAATATTGTGTAATAATATAATTATTGACCGTCTAGGGGTCGTTCCGGAACTGGTGTCAAAATCTGTAATGCTTTCTACAATAAGTCATTATCCAAGCTTAAGTCTTAAGCCATAAGAAATTGACTAATCACAGTTAAATGTGAAAAGAATAAATGACTATGATTGGTCAGTTCTTATCACTTAAGACTTAAAGCTTTATAGGTAACGACTTATTGTAGAAAACCCATAATACGATTACTGACGTTGGATCTATATGACTCATTTAATTTACATTACTTAAAAAGTACTAATTAATTTCAAGAAACTAAAATGACAACTTGTATAAAAAAAGAATTAATACTAATTTTAATAAGAATAATCCAATTTGCAAATAAAACAAAAAAAATTGTATTATTTGATGTTTTTAATAAAGAGATTTATATTTGAGTGGGTATCCAATAGACTTACTGTCAGCTTCAAAAGGTTGAAAAAATGTGGATAGAGAAACATAATTATGCGAGACGCAACTCTGTAAATAATTGCGTAATACTGGAATGTAACACGTGCCGCAGTTAAATACATAGTAATGTCGAAACTACACTTGTGTAGTGAAGTGATATTAGAATGACTCGTGGACCGAGAACGGCCTTGGATGATCGTACGAGACCACCTCTATACTCGCGCCAACGATCATGATAAATGACGCACTAATTATGCACACGTGCGGAGGACATATTGTAATCGTACTTTACAATCGTCACGCGCGGAGTTCACGAGCAAGGATCGAACATCTAATCGGCACGGAGAGAATTAAAATCACTATTCATTGATGGTTGTAAATTACTTCACGTCGCTTTTACATATACATAGTATATTATTCGCAAATTCATGTTTTTTCATTCTTTATAAATAAAAAAAGTATTAAAATAGGATAATAAGAGACATAAAAATATATATTGTTATTTTTTATTATAGTACACTTATTGTCAGAGAAAAAGACACAGCAAAAGAAGTCGTAAAGACAATTGTACAAGTTTTACGTAGAATCAAGTAAATAGTTGATTAAACTATACATTTTATAGTTATGAATATACTATAAATTAGTACATTCAACTATGTACAACGTACATTAATTTTACATATAAAACTTGTATATCACTTTTACAGTTGCTACTATTATATTTTCTCTGCCTAAGTATAAACCGATGCCATATATTTTAATTCACATATGATTTCGTCGCTGAATAAGAGCGAACTAAATTCTGAACCACGTTTCCACGAAATAATTTTTCATTAGGAATTCAACCACCATATCAATTTGATCAAGTGACAAAGCGCAATTCGTACGTTATATATACGTACGTGTGTGCGATTTAATGACTCAATTAAGACTATTTTATAATTTCAATTTGATCATCTGAAATGGACCAAAGTGCTTCAACGCACAATTCTTGGAACTGATGTAAAATCATTATTCCGGATATGGTTCGCGCTTTTTCTGGGTCAGATAGAACCTCGGACGAAAAGTCGGACGGAAGGTAGACAAAGAGTTCTAATTTCGTTAATGGATGGCGACGTAAAAAATGTGCGTAACTACCTGTCCCGTATTTCCAACGGCAGGGGTCTCCTTGAGATCTGTCCTCACGTAGAAGAGACGGGGTCCTTAGCCTTACGTGCTATCTGCGTTGTGTTGGTTACATAACGCACACGCGGCCGCTCGCATGAATGAATACATTCATAAAGACGGGTCCGGCCGGCTTAGCGCGCACGTCACACACATATGCGGGGCTACAATCTCAATAAGAAAATACGTCTATTATGTCGTTACAATAACGATATCAATTCGTTGACCGTCGTGGCACCGAGCGGAGCCCATTGTCTTCAAACGATAGTAGAGTGTCCCCTGACCGGTGCACCATGTAAATCGCCCTCGAATAATTTTGCCTCCGAAATCTTGAGGCCAGGAGTCTGAAGTCAACGTCGTTCGAAAGATAATTATTATATTTTTCATCAATTATTATTATATATGAAGCGTTTATACTTTTTTTTCGAAGAAAGAAGATCGAAAACGAATTTGGCGAAAGTAAC